TTGTTTGCACTATGAGGGACAAGAAGTCATCCAAACACACTTTCACTTTCTCCACTCTTCATCAAAAGGTTACGCTTCAGCTCTACTCCCATTTTACTGAGAGGCAAAGAGAGGAGCTTTGTCCCATGATAGAGGGAATCCAAAAGAAAGAACTCGGCATGCCTTAGGTTGGAACAGAAACATATTGTCAAGATGGATAAAGCAGCACGACATGGGTGACGAGACTTTCCTAGCTAAAAGAGGGCGGCCTTTGAAGACTGACAGTTTCCATAGAGGGGGGGGGGGTGTCCGACGAGCAGCTGTCCAGATGTTTGACAGAAATGAATTTGTTGCTCTCAGAAAGTTGAAAAGATGGTAGTCTGATATTCTACTGATAACCACGATATAAACATATCGAAGACATGCCTTTGGAAAACAGTGAGACGTGTTGGGTTTACGTTCAGGAAATCAAATGATGGGAAAACTTTACTGTGTAAAAGAAATCCTATTGTTGTTTTAAGAAGTACTAGATCTAGTACTTGAGACAGTTGAAAGACGTCCGTGAGAAAGGAGATGAGGTTTTCTTCTTGGACGAAACTTTTCTAAACGCTCACCATGAGTTCCAAAAAGAACGGCAGTCAAAGGATGGACATATTAAAAGATAAGTTCCTGCTGGAAAAGGAGAGAGACTGACAATTGCACACTGTGGAAGGAGTGAAAAGTGTTTACTTGAAAAAAACGGAACTGATTTTCACGTCAAATTCCAGTGACCACAGAGAGTATCACAAGGAAATGAATCATTTGAATGGCAATATATTTCGAAATTGGATTATTAAAAGTACATTGCCTGCACAGGACAAACAATCAGGCTTAGGGATGGATAATGCGTCATATCACAACGTAGTGAAAGAAGAGGACAAAATTCCAACAAATGCAAGCCGGAAAGAGGAAATGAAAGATTGGCTCAACAAAGAGAGGCCACCATTTGCACCATCTCAGCTTAAACCCGAGATCCTTTTTCTCGTTAAACAAAGCAAAAAAGCGGAAAGATGTCAAGTTGTTGAAACTGTGGACAGCACGGACACATTTGTCTACGGTGGCCACCCTACCACTCCCATTTAATCCAACTGAACTCGTCTGTGCGAAGATCAAAGAAACGATTGCATCCACAACAACAACAGCAACAACCACAACAACAACAACAACAACATCAACAACAACCACAACGACAAGCCAGCGAGGCGTGGAAAGAGCCAGTCTCTGCTCACTCTGTCACTCTCGGCTGATCCACGTGCAGTTGATGTCTCTCACACCAGGCCCACACGCGCTCGCTCATTGTCTGTTCTTTGTTGGTTTCAACAATGGCACTCC